AATGATCTTCCCAGCGGCTTCCGAAAGAAAAAGCAGGACGTCCGACCGCTCACAAGTCACTATTCCGTACAGCAGTTGTCTAAAGTTGTCGAAAGTGGCCCTACAGGCCTCTCAGTTCAGTCCAAACAACTCCTCCTCCACTAAGACATTGCTCCTCTCCCTCTTACTTTGTCTGTAGTTATAAAGTCACAGACTACGCTTCTTTAAAACTCACAGTGCGCAGGTCATTCCTCCTCTTTTCCTGTGTTGCATGTTATCCGTCTGTAAGTCAGTTAGCAGCTGTCAGCGTTAAAGTCGTTTGGAATGTGCAGGCACTGGCTCTCCGGCTGCTGTCTAGTTAATACTGAGGTAGGCTATTGTAAAGCCAGCTTGTTTCCTTTCATGCAAATTGATCTGAGAAACTAGAGCTAAGAGGCTGCCAGCACAGAGAGAGAAAGAGAGAGAGAGAGAGAGAGAGAGAGAGAGAAAATCTGATTTACAACGTCATCTTTACTAGGAGGAGAAACTGGCTTCACAGTCTCCGTCAGCCAATTATTACTAATTAAATCTGAACAGAATTTGAGATCCAAAATAAACCTCATTAATTCTACAGGTTAATCTGTCACGACCACAATCCACTGCTTCATAATAATGTAGGAATTTGTCAGTTTGTTCCATAATTCATCTGTCATTATCTGGAAATTTGCTCTGAGAGGGGGTTGATGAGAGAGAGCTGCTTGAGAGGAGGTCCTTGAGACTCGCTGGTCTGACATCAAATCCACGCACAAAATAACACATAAAAGCAGTGCATGAGCCATGATAATAAATATTCTGCACTTGTACCTTTCAGTCATTTTACAGGACTTATCGACAGCAGGTAAAGTCGCTCAGAGCTCTGCACAGTCTGTGCTTTGCTGTCACTCACTTCAAGCGGTGGGAGTGGAAATGGTACGAGCCACTCGGTCCGCGGCTGCGCGCTCCTTAGTTCCTCTGCGCCAAGCAGCAATGTCTTATTTTAGATTTATTTGTTCTGAATTTTAGCAACCTATCATTCTACTGGTTTCAGGGACTAGGAAGGGTTAGGTCCATACGAAATGCGCCAATTCAAATTAAAACACAAAATAAAATAGGATAAATAGCATATATAACATTTTCAGCCATTTAGAGGCAGGGTGCGTACCCCTGATGCGTGGACGCCGCAGCACCCTTCAAGTGGTTATGCTAGATAACGAAAATATAACACAACAGTTTAACAAAATAACTAGTAGTAATTGTTCAAATGCTTGCAGGATTATGGTCAGGATTTAGTTTAACATGCAGAATGTGGGTGCGCAAATAATTAAAATGCGGCTTAACTGCAGACCTTGAACATCTGCACTGGTTTCCAGTTTTAATTAGAAACACGCAAGTAGGCCACATAGACTGGACATATTCCATGCTTTTAAAATACACAAGATTTGATCATTTTGACATTAATTTTGATCAGAAGCCGCTGTTTGTATTAGCCTAATGCAAGCCATGTTTTGATTGATTAGGTAGAAGACCATATCTGTGAAGCAATGTTGACTATCTGGTCCTCTTTGTTTTTAAATACGCACATTATTATATATTTCTTTCAAAACGCGGCAAACGTTTGCGAGGACCTGATTTCAAATAATCGCACTGCATGTGCAATGCACGTCAATTTTCCGGACTTAGAGCATTGCGCGTACTTGATTGCTAACAAAATCAGGGGATTTTTGTCTCACACACACTCAGATACACTGCAGGAGAGGTATCAAAGCATAAATACTGCAACTAAAGTTTATTCACAATTGGCTATAATTTCAAATGTTCGTTGACAATAATCACATTAAAATGCCAGAGACGTTACGGACTACAACCTATTTTTTATTAGCATGAGAATGAAAATGTTAGTGATTTATTTTGTCTCAGTCATTTATTTAATTTTTATATATGCTTAAATAAAATTCAAATGCCTTTGCAGCCGTCTTTTAAGAGCTATACACACAGTAAATGTTATCATTTTCCTTAAAAGAAAATAGTTTTACTAAACAGTAACACATTGTGCATTTGAAATAATATCTGTAGTCCTTCTTAAATGATTTATTGCTACATCCAGAGGACCCACTTTCCAAAGAAACAAACTATCAGACCAAATGTTTGACTGCAGTTAAAACACAGGTCCACTAGAAGAGGCTCAGTCAGTGCTATCCCAAATAACAGCAAAGTATAGCCTACCAAACTCCAGCTTATTAATGTATCCAAGTATGACATAGATAGGCTATTATTATTATTATTATTTGCACAGCCATTAAGAAATGTTTAAAATAACTGGCGTAAATCAGCCCTATAGTCTAGCTGTTGTCTGGCACAGGTGTGACATTCCAGACAGCTATACAACAGTTACTAAAGGTTTAGCTTCAGGTTTATCAAAAACCTTGAAATTTAAATGTTACCAGAAAAAATGTCAGGGCCTGGTTCTGAGCTGATGGACCCTCAGACCGCTCCCCTTCACAAAACGTCTGCTGCTGAAGTAGGAAAAACCTATTGTAGCCATTTCCAAGAAATTTCTGAACCCCTGACGTTTTCCCTTTTGTTTTGTTGCACAGTTCTATATAAGTGGTTAAGGTTAGTATTTGCACTTTCAGTTACGGTTATTATGTTCATACTGTGGCATATTCTGCATATTAAACTCATGAAGCATAAAAGCTCTGTAACCCAGTACAAATATTGCTCAGATATGGATGAATATAATACCAAATAATTTATATTTGCCATTCTGTTTTAATATTTACTTACAGTTTAATTTAGATAGATAAATGGAGATAAATAAATATATAATCTAATCATTTGAATCAAGGATTTCATGTCACTAGAATACAAGTGTCCCTTTTGCTAACAATCACAAGGAGGAATTCTTTTGCTTCACTACCAGTGACCCTTTGGGAACTACTGAAGACCTGTGAAAGCTCATTCAAGGACCCTGGGGAGACCTCCAGGATCCCTGGAATTGGAAGACTCATAAGCACCTTTGAACCTAAGTCACTGGAGTGACTTTGTGTGCCCTGTTTATGCTTGCATGTGTGCACTATACTGAGCATTATCAGCTCCACTGCCTCCACTGCACTACTTGTTTTGTTACGGTGTTTGGACATGGAGTACAGGTAATGCATTTGGCTTCTAGAGAGTTTTCAGACATATGCTTACTTCCACAGTAAGAAAATGTCAAGAGCCTTCTCAGAGGAAGCAGTATGTTGTAGAGTTGTTGATCCAGAGATGGACTTCCCATTCTGGTGTCAACCCCCCACTACTGGGCTCAAAAAATGCCAGCAACAGACTTAAAGCCCTAGACAGAGGGAGATTTAGAACTGGGGACAGACCAGTATGAGTCTAAATGATGCACACATGCTTTTACTAGAGCAACAGTCAGAAACAGCTCCTTTGAGCTGTGGATAGTAAATGGGCTTGGTGATGGCGTGATTTGATACTGGAGTGCATAGGGTTACTAGACTTAGGTCATGGACACATTTAATATACAGTGCAGGGCAATAGCCAGATGGAAGCAAGGCAAAGCAAGACCCTTATCTTGCATAGTACAATCTCCATATAATAATGGGACAGTGACAGTTCTGTGGACTGCCACGGCCAGTCACATTTCAGGAAGTGAACAGTGTCTTTACTGGTGATCTACTACAGTATGTTTTTGCCTGCTGTTCTTACATTTTAGCTAGTTAAAATGAAATATACATGTTTGGCATCTAAGTTACATCACAATTTACAGATGGATCAGCTGACTCTAAATAATAAAATTAAAATTTATTTTTGTCATTTGGGGGCAGTGGAACAAGCTGTGAATACAACACTGACATATGATACTATTTTCTTCCTATAAAGTTGTCATGGCAAAAATGTTAACAAGCAGTTGCTTATTTATACTTCCAGGAGATACAGAGCAACATCAGTATTAATTTGAAGTCATGTTTGTGTCTATTTTGTGAGAAAATATCCAATAATTCCACTCTTTTTAGTTCTGTTGTGGTCTCTACCAACTCCTGATTAATACTCTACTATTTTCACTAGTTTCACTTTTGGTAGTAAAAAGTTTATCTGCCGTTTGGTCCTGGACAGGTAGCATACACATTCAGCTGGCACTGAAAATTAGGCTGATGAAAGAACTGGCTGAAACATGGTAAAATGCTCACATGCAGAGTTGATTGGCTTACTGTAGTCATTAGATACCTATTGCACAAAACCAAGGTTTGTAAAAGTGGTTTGAACTATGATCAATATGCCTGGTTGATGGTGAGAATTAAAGGCTTTCAGTGGAGTTTGTTTAAATTCACTTAAAGTATTATACATTCATAGGGGTGTAATAGCACTGTATTATAATCCATATATGACACTTCATTTTATAAATGGTCTCGCATGAAAAATAATCAAATATTTTAAGGCAAACTGGCTGTTTGGTATAAAATGTAATAATTTGGCAGTGGACACACAGACAGCTAATAAGAGTTGCACTCCATCAGATCAAGGCTTTGGGTGCACAGCAGGAGTTGGCAGTCATGCTATCATTAGAAAGGAAAACCTAAGATTGAAAAGCAAACATTTGAATATTTGTGCTGTAATCATTCCTGTTCTCAATGCCAGTGAAACCCACATGTAGAAACAGGTAGCCTGTGATACATGGGGTCAACATTTTCTCAGCAGCATCAGCCATAAACTCAGCAACACATGTAAATGTGTTGGTTTAACAGCATGTATAAGTTACTAATACCTAAAATCTGTGCTTACTGTGACTGGCATTAGTGGTGACAAAACTGTGAATTATACCAATGTTAGCTATAGATTAGAAATAGTTATAGATTAAGGCTATGACTAGTTCAAAGGTCAAGCTGCAGCCTAAACAGCCTAACTCTCTAAGTAATGTTAG